TGCTTTCAGTTCTGTTTGTTGGCCTCATGTCTCCTACGCTTTCTGAAACCCTTTCTTTCCTTTAGCACCTCGTTTTGGCCTTGAGAGCCAAAGTCCTCATTTCACGGTTCTGCCTCTTTGTAATGTTCTTCGTGACGTTTCGATTGTCGTGAAAGCCGTCGTATCGACAAAGCCTTCTATAATTAATTTTTAACAGTGTTTTCACATCCTCTGCATTCGTAAACATTCACACATCTGAAGAAGGAACGATGGCGGGCGGCACTGTTTATGTACACGGGATAATACGCGTGTTTCCCGAGTAAGTTTACTTCATTCCCTTCACACCTGAGCAACTCATTAAAATCCTCATTAAAAGCCTCGTTGCATATGAGGAACTGAAGCGGGTTTCAGAGAATACATGTCTCTCCTTCCTTTTCTACATTTATCACTGCAAAACCATCAGATGGCTGTTTCAAAAACCTTTTCAGCTACGCTCTTCTGCGTTTTTGATTTTTTGCAGAATCATTACCGTATCCTTCGCTATTATTGGTTTGTTCGGATAGTCTTCGCCGATTCGTAAGGTGCAGTAAGAATCAAAATTTTGAGTAGACGAATCGTTTGATGACGTAATACCATCCATTTTAATAAGTAACGGTCCGGTACCGTTTTGGAAGTTTCACTATGCCACTCCCCAAGACTCAGAGTTGAAACACTCCCTTCAGAGATCCTTCGTAGCCGTTCGAAACAATTCAATTATTTTGCTTTGGATGAGTTCTGAGGAGGCCGGGTCAGGCGGAACTCTGATTGCACCGCAACTGGTGTATAGGTGGATGTGAAATTTTTCAACCAAATCCAAGGACACTTTTTGAGTGGTCCAACATTCTGAAGCGTCTTTTGTCAAGGGTGACATGAACGTGAAAATTTCCAAGAAAAAACATCGCGTGTACATAATAATGCCAGCTTTTTTTTGACTAACGCATTTCATCTTCTCAAATCCTCGCTATTCTCGCATCTCATAATCTGAAACTAACGGCGGAGGATCTGGGAAGCTGCGCCCTCTAACCCTGACCCGATATTCAGTTACGTATTTTGTGTCGACTCACAGGAAACTGTAACTGAGTTCGTCTTCAAGGCTCATCCGGGATTTTGCCTAAGATAAGCTAGGATACATCCAAAATTTTTGGCTAAAGTGTCGCTGCGACTTATTGAAGACTGTGGAGTTAGGAAAGAAGATGTGTGCGCCTAATAGCTGACATAGGAGCGAGAAACTTCAGATCGGACAGTTGGAAAGTGATAAAAAGTGTGGAGACGTGGTGTTCTATCCTGAACCCAATGGTAAGGGCTCAACGTGGTAAGGTGTTGAAAGGCTGAAATACTGGTGGTTAAGAGCACCTTAATCACAGCTATCGCGGAACTTTGATTCCAGGCAAATAAAAGGTACCCATATGTCCTGGAACGCTCTGTGTTTCGAATATATCAGTGTAGCGAATAAGCTAAAACCAATAATTGACTTCAAACTTACACTGACTCATGCCAGGATCCTTTGAGAGTCGCACATGAAAACCGCTCTGTTGTTTTTTCATGGTTTTTAGACGAGTCCGATTTGCCTCAGGAAAAGCTTTTGACCCATTCCTCAAACTGCTCTGAGATTTCACTTCATGATGGCATGGAATTCGCCATGAATCTCAGTTAGGGTCAGCGCTGATGAAATTACTTTTTATATTATAGTATATAATTCAACTCTCTCTATCCTTTCTTCTCTCTCTCTCTCTCCTTTCTCTATCTTCTTGACTCTTCTGTCCTTCTCCTAGTCTTCATCTCTGCAGTTATATTTCTCTTCTTCTGTTTCCCTTTCTTCTATCTGTCTAATCTTCTTCTCCTTCTTCTGTCTCTCTTCTGCTTTTCTCTGCTGATCTCTTCCTCTCTTCTATCTTCTTTCTATCTCTGTTCCTCTCTCGATTTCTCTCTGCTCTTCTTGCTTATATATATTCTGTCTCTCTTCCCTCTGTTCTCTCTTCTCTTTGAATCTCTCTCTCGAAACCGCCAAAATTCAAACATAGTGTTTGTCGGTACACGTCCAAGAGGCCGACCCAGAAAGCGATGGCTAGACAACCTGAAATACGACATGAATGCTGCGGACCTGTCTGCAGCCGATGCATGGAACCGGGATCGCTGGAAAACATTGGTGGAAAAAGCGTACCCGACAAGAGTTGGACAACAACGCTAAGAAGAAGAAGAAAGAATATTCCCGTAACAGCTGACCATGACGCACATCCTCAACTAGTTCTGGGCCTAGCGAATTGCTTCTTTCCATCATTAATATGTATCCGAATCACTAGCATCCAATATCTGAAAATAGTCTGACTATACTCAAAATAGGTCGTGTTTAGTCGGCAGATAAATAACCGTAGGGGTTTCATCAGGGTAATGACATGAATAAAGCTCACTTGAACTCAAACCCGAAACCCACATCGCATAAGGACTTCCTCTTCGACTAGTTATACTGCTTGCTATTGAATTTTTTGTTATTGTTTCGTAGCTTATGACATTGCAGCTCAAGGGGAAAGGTTGAACTTGTCTGCGTCTTCTATTCCCTGGAGAAGTTCTAGTCTCGAATTAATTGGGTGGGGCAGTTTTGTGATTTTCTGACGCATTTTGGCCTCCAGAACTAAGTGTACATCACTGGTTTAAAAAAAGGCGATCTAGCCTTGGCGTAAATAGTCGGGCTAGCACGATTTCCTATGAGAAAGCTCTGGTCGAGGATCCCTTCTACTCCAGGTCTTACCATCTCCGTACTCCAAGCCATGACCTCCCACAAAAAGTAGGTCGGAGAGGTGTAGCAGAAATACCCGCCAGTTTTCAATGATCTTCCAGAATTTGCGTTTAGACGTTTTCTTGATCAGTGTCATAGACATGGATTTCTAAGAGATCGAGAAAACGGCCAATGTTGTTGAAGACACCGGAAGCCTCTAATTGGCTGCCCTCCATTTTTCACTTCCTTTTTCCAAGTACCATTTTCGAACATGCATTCAGAGAAAAATAGATGAAAAATTCATCGATCGCTTATTAATCGCGGGACATTCGTATTATAAGATGTGGGAGGTCGCGGTAATATTGATGAGACGGTAATTCGAGAGCAAACACCTGGCTTGCAGTATCTTCACATTTTCCAAGTCCATTTCTCATCTCATAAATTGTGGAATTAGTGATCGTTTCGCGCTGGGAATTCAGATCGATTCTATAATAAATGAGTTGTACCCTGTGTGCCGCTTTCGCTGTGAGGCTTTGATAAGTCTTGCTTAAGGTCTGGTACGACCTAAAAGTGTGGGAGCATTCCCCCATGGGCTCACCTGCATGCGATTAGTAAGGGTGACTTTCTCGATTGGCTGAGTTCAAAATTTCTACTAAATTTACTTTTAAAATTTCTCACCCACACCTTTATGAGTTGAACAAACTTTACCACCTTTTTCCGGCTGCCTACGAAATCCCTTCCTCATGTCTTTTTAAACTCAACGCCGGCCAAAATCCAACCCATTTCGTTTAACCCGGCTAGGTGGGCACGTGGCAATGAGTAAAGAATATGTATCTGTATTTCGTTACAATCCCAGGAAAATTTAGTAGTTAATAATCTGGCAGGTAATGGGCCGAACCACATGAAAGGCTACTACATTAGACTCCATGACTTGTACCTCTGGAGCGGTTCCTATTCTCTCCTCCGCTTCTAAATGAAGTTTAGATAGCTGCCAAAAATTTGGAGATGTTCTTCATGTCGCAGAAGTAGTAAAGGTTTTCCTTACATTATGATGACACTTCATTATAGCCCTTACCAAGTCAATTCTGGTAGCGTTCAAAGGGTCACTCACCCACCCCCCGACTGTGGTTTCTGTCCTTACCCTCTACCATTTAGCCATTGTCCTGGGACCAGCCATTGCATTTTCCTATTAAGTGAGCAAAAATTGGCATTCGTTACTTTTTTCTTACCAACAATTACTACCTGAATTCAAGGTCTAGATGTTGGTTAGGGTAAAAAAATTCTGGAATGAAAGACAGTTTCACAGCACGGTAATTTCCGAGCACGCATCTGAGGTGAATTGGAGGGAGTCAGAAAAATCAAAGAAAACCTCAATTGCGATGTGGGAGTTGTACTATTGCAAAACGTGGGATAAATAAACATAGGCTTCAGCTCATATCCGGAATTTTGACACTCATTGTAGGTGTAAAACGCTCTCTCTCATGCAAGGTCTTCAGAGCAAAAAATCAAAGAGTATCAGATTTTTCGCCAAGTCCTTTCGCCAATATTTCGTCCAGTGAAGAGAGTGTTCCAAACTCCATGATACGCTATATCCAATGCTCTAACCCACAAATTAATCAAAGGAATAGTTCTCTAGGAACCTCGTGATCTGTTCCCTACACGTGCTGCCAGTCAACAAGAGGCTATTCACTAGCGGTCACTAGGTTGCCAAATGGCAGATTGGCAAAGATTCGTCTAGGAACACCCCGCCCATCGCTAGAATGGCCATCAATGGAATTATGTAATGTTTGTCAAGGTGCGATAGCAAGGATGCGTCTTTTCCGCCAGTCTGAAAGGATGAATACTATGGCTGGAGCGTGGAGTGGTTTGATGGCGTCGCGGGACGTCATTGGTGCATTATACCCCTCACCGCGCTAGGGGGCGTGGTTGAGACCAGTTCCCCATTCCCTTCCACCAATCACGCTTAATGACGTCACCAAAACCGCTCCACCCTCCAGCCAGTCCTGTTCACTGCCTTTGAAAAGCTGCAAGAATATGCTTTGCAACTTTTCACGGCTGCTAGATGGCCGGCCTGCTATGGCCTAAGAAGTTTGACATTGGAGATGGCTGAGCTACTGCCTTGTCCAACAACTCAATCACAAGTTTGAAAGTTGAAGATGAAGGAGTCGAGTTTATCAAGACCAAACTCGGGCTATTTTCACCAATCCTTGTGGGAAACAAGATAGCATCGCCGCACTTTGAACTTGTCAAGATCGCTTGCTTTTCTGACATGGCGTTTTTTGTACTCAACGAAGAATTGGATGCAGTACGGTAAAGTTCATGATGTCACTTGCGGATCCAAAAATAGGGGCTCGGCTGGGGATATTCACAAAGCAACTGCGTATTCGGGCTATTTCCACCTTTTGAGTATTCAATGGAAGTACTAAAAGATCTCCTCGAACTCTTATAACACGTCCAGGGAATCCTTACAATTTCAGCAGCGGTGTTGACGGTCTTTAGGTCAAAGTTTAATCCTTCTCTGTGTTTCCTTCCTATTCTGCGAGTGTCATCTGCAGTGGTTTATTGTGAAGTGAACGGCCAGCGACATGACATGGCCACCCTTGGGAACGTACATTATTGATACACGAAAGGAGGTCCGAACACAAACGCGCGTAATCTACGGCTCTTTGCGGAAAGAGCTGCTATTTTCAGGCCATATTTGGAATGGAAAAGTCCTACAATAGGTTCGAAAACTTAATATTGAATAATTTCAGCATCATGGTCGACTATCTGATTGATCCGAACAGCACCGAATGTATGTGCTCCGATCTGCAGACGGTCGACTATTCACCGCTTTACGCTGGGTAAGTTGCTCACATCCATTTCTTCACGAACAAATTGTTCACCTTGCTCTTCTCATCGAGCTGGGCATTTCTTGAGTGGTGATTAATGAGCCAAATAATCCATCACGTCTCGCAGTCAATGAAAGTCCATGGAAAAGGGTTCCATGAGATTTTGCACGGAGAAGAGTAGAAAAGGGCCTTTCAAAAACACTTTCAACAGGTTCTACTGAGAACTTCACTCAATAATTCTCGTGAGCTTCAAATTTTTCATGGAACCTCGGCCCTTCTTACAACTCCGTCGGAATGGTATGAAAGAAGTATCTCCGCGCCTGCATCGGGGACAGGACCAAGTAGGACGAGAATGCCCGAACGACTCCCTTCCGAAACGATGAGCACGATCTCCCTAATCTCAAATTTTGCAGCGTGATCCGAGTCGAGATTGGCTCCAAATCCACACGACCACATCAGTGTTTTCTAGGGTGCTGTGTATGATTAAAAATTGTGCCTGCGACTTCCCAAACTTATTCCCACCACTCCTCAACCCTCACATTGAATGTGCGCGGTAAGAGCGGATTCGTGTGCTGCGGCAGAGGCACACCTTTTTGAATATCCCCAGCCTAGCCCCTGTTTGTGCGGGAGGAGCCTTTCGACTGTGTGTGAAACAAACAGTACTTATCGAAAAAATTTAAAAAATATGATCAGCTAGAATAGATGTCTTGTAAACAGGACACTTGGAGGCAGTTTTTTGGTTGGTCAAACTCGAGAGGCGACCAGAGAGTGTTTTTTTAGTCACGGATGCAGGGCGCGACCTGGTCTTGAAGGTTCAGCCATACAGCCTTCCTATACAGAGTCACTAAGGCTTTCCAACACGAGCCAATAAGGCTGTCTTGACTGAGCCGTTAAGGCAATCACCGTCGAGCCGCTTAGAGTTTCTCTATGTGGCCACTGAGGCCCTCTTCACCGAGCCACTGCAGTCTATATGAACCTAGGCCCTCTCTCCAAAGGGCCACTACAGCTCCCACCCAAAGTGCCACTAAGGAACGCTGAAGCTGAACTGTTGGAAAAGTGCAATTGCGGAGCACAAGAACTCCGGGACCACGCAACTCCGGAACACTGATCTTGGCATCAGGACCCCTTTTATTGGGACTTTACACGCAAACCTTTCGCTCGTTGAAGGTGGCTTCTCATGACCCCCGCGATCAACACTACCACCTCCTTCTCGATATATACCGTCCAGATCAGCTGATCTACAGCTGATCTCTTGAGGCTCGACATGTCCTTTTACTAATAACTGATCGTATAGACATTCAAAAGTAACAACGAGTGATAGAATTGTTGACCGTCCAGCAACATGAATTTCTGAATCGAGTAACTGAGCTGAAATGCCTTTTCAATCTTATGTCTTAACGATATGATCTTAATCTCAATGTGGGAAACGCCTGTGGATGAAATCTCGGATAAAATCTTTGATCAACCTTCTTTCCCGCAGGGGTGGGATATCGACATTAAGTCGTGTGGGATAAACGGTGAAACTCCAGTTCGGGGGGGGGCACTCCATTGCTATCTTATCCGTAGTACTAGAGAGCAGTTCTTTGGGCTATCGAACACTACGGATAAGATAATAAGTGAACGACTCATTTCGAGCGTACTTTTGATAAGGACCGGTGGATGTCCTACATTCCACACTACCTGCCCACATCCCATCCACTTTTCTGCACAGGTGATCCACCCTGGAGCTCCTGCACCCTTAGCCCTTTGCGGAGGTGTCCTTTCTCCTGGTCCAGGACCGTTCCCTTGGGTCATGCAGGCGGAAATGTGAAAACGTTTCAGGGTTTCTCACCCATTACACCAATATTTATCAGAAGTCTACTTTAAATGAGTCGATTACGTGTCGTGAGCCCTCTAATCCTTATCTTGAGTATTGGAGAAAAAATGGAGTGGCCCCCCCGAACTGGAGTTTCACCGTAAAAACACGATTTGCAAATCATTTGGCCCTCAACTTGTTGTGTACTAACCGAAAATCCACTACGATTCTGAGTGGAAGTAGTGAGCGTGGCGCATCTGAGAAAGGGATTGTTCGATGGGCTTCTTCCGTTTATCTTCAAAGTTCACGTTCTACACAGATTCCAAAGCCAACTACTCATTGAGGTCATTTGTGTCAAAGGAAAACGCTGCATTATTATCAGTCCGAAAATGAACTTATAGTGAAAGTTGACGGTGTCAGCGCCTTTCGCCTCTCGACTACATTGCATCCATTTCAGGTTCAACCTGGCTCTGATCATTATTGCCTTACCGTTGCTGTCACTCTTTGGTGTCTGCACTAATGTGATCAATATATACGTGTATTCTCGGAAAAGGTATATTTAATTAGCTGGAAAAATTGATTATATTGATTCATTCAATGTAAACCAAATACTCTTGGCAATACACCGTTTGGCGCGTAGCACTATACGGAGGCATCTTCTAGAGCTAAGACGGGGAGAGGGAAGAAATTTTGGAAAGAAATGAACGTTACTCATGCACGCTGGAGTCTCTCCTCCCCCGCCTAGCTTGATCCCGATTTTAGCAAAGGGCACATGGCACCATTTTCGGGATAGACCATGATCGACTCTCCTTAACCTCGGCATTATTTTAGTAATATTCAAGTTTTTTGTTTCTTCAGCCTCTGAGATTGATACAGGCTTTTACTGGCGGACGTTTCGGCGAAATCGCCTTCTTCGGAGCCTGTAAAGAAGTGCTGTGAAAGTGCTTTTCATCCTAGGGGGGGTCCCCTCTAAGCCCTTTGGCCTGATCTTGGAGAGCTAAGGCACATATAAAAGCTCCGCCAAAACCTTACGGCTAAGGGTGCCTCCTACAGCTCCGTCGCCATTTAAGGTCAGGTTTCCCGACACCGCTACTGATTTTCCAACCATTAGACCTTATTCGCGTAGTCCGAAAAGCTATCGGAATGACTGTGTCTTACACATATGTTCGAATTCTTCACTGGCTCCGAAAAGGCGACATTGCCGTCTGTCAATGAAAATCTCTACAAAAAACGCCGCACCAATCGCCGCGCGCGACGCTGATCGCCGCGTGAGCGGCGTGACCTCATTAGGCGACGATTGAATTGACCGTCTCCCCCACCAATGACCAGTTTATTGCAATAGCTCCAAAAATTTAATAATACATTGCTTCGTTTTGCTGGACAATTCACCTTTTACGCAAGAGCGGCTTTACGGATGCAAAATTCAGCCAATATTCATTTATTATTTCTTGCCTGCAGCGATTTTCTGGTGATTGTAACGGGTCTTTTTATATTTTGGATTGGTGAGTTCATTTCAAAAGATTTGCCTTAAAGGAAGTGGTCACGATAATTTTCATGGGAACGATAAGGAAAGCTATGTATTGGAGTGGATAGGAGGTCCTGCCCAATGTTACAACACGTGAAGTTTCAGTGGCAGTGGCGCCTTATCAACGGAGTGATAAGGCGCCGAAATCCACTTCCGTTCAGCAAAAACCAAGACTTATCGATGTGGAAAGGGGTGCGATAAGAGCGTGCTAGATATGATACCGTTATCGTTATCGTCCCGTTTTCATTCTGGAGTGCACCTCTTATCAAGCAGCCGCACCTTCTTATCTCATCGTATCATATCTTCCATGGGCTTACACTCGTCCAACAATTACTGCCTCACACCTTATCGATTGATAACGCGAGGGTAGCAAATCCAGCGTGGAAGCCAGCGTGATCGCTTCCTTTAAAAAACAGATTCACAATGGAACAGCAACCACTTGGAATTAACTTAGTGATGGTGAGTGGTACACGACGAAGGAAGGAAAAATCACATGAGAAACGGCTTAGAACTCGAGAAATGGGACCTCTTTGAACCCTTTGCGGCTATCATCGCTATGCCCTCTTCAACGCTACGCTCTCTCTGCTATACAATCACTCTCCGCATATAGACCTGCGGCGAGTGATTAGATAGTCAGTAGGCAGACCCCACCAACCGCGCCAAGAGTGAGCCATGATCGCCAAGGTCAAAGGATTCGCTGCCAATTGCGTGTCACTCCGCGCCCTCAGGAGGTCCGCCTGTCTCCCAAATATGCAATTTTCCCCTTCTTTGACCTTCGTTCTTATCGTAAACTCCTCCTTTACCTGCTCTTTCGTACGTTCCTGAGAGGCTTGTTCCCTGTTGGCGTCCGCTTAATGCCTAAATATTACCTATTGAAGCTTCTATGACCTCGTTTTTTACGGTCAGATGCAAATTTATTAGATTTATTGAGGTGTACCACTAGGTCACAGCGCGGCGTCGTACAAATTGCGGCGGGCTGCGCGCGGCACCGTGGTGCAGTACGGATATGATTTCCGCAGCATGTAAAGACTGAGGCCAAGTGTGCACTAATGAAGGGGAAGCTGGGAGGAACGCTTAAGCTTGTGCGACGTTGGACCAGGGTCAACCGTTACGTTGGACCGATATTGGACCGACGTTGGACCGACGTTGACCGCTCTCCGCGCCGGCATTCACACTCGCCACCCGCGAGCCGTCTGTGTCTCCGTGCGACTTTTCCAACGGACGGTTGACCCTGTTCTTGTACTTGATTTCGGTGCTGGATGATATGGTCGACGGACTACTTGAACTCGGTCCTTTAAGCTGCCTCACTCGACGCTTTCGTCTGCGCTCTCTCGCCTTATCAGCGGCTCATGACCACTGTGATCTCACACATTCAAACTTTTGCCACACTGTAGTTGGCTCCCACCTCCCCCTTACAAGGCTTAGTCCCAGGGCTCTCACCTCCCTCCTGGGATTTGGAGCCGAGCCAGGCGCCGATCTCTGATCGTCCGTGGTCGCCGCTATTCGTGGCAGGATCATAGACGAAAGTTCAAGTAGACCGTAAAGCGATGAGTTTCTACGATAGTTGGTATTGTCAACTTGGAGACGTGCTCTGAAACTCTGACACGAAAGGAGAGCGCGGGAGCAGGACTTTTTCAGGTATTTGATTTCCCCTCCCTCACATTATGTGTACTCTAAATGAAAGCCAAAATTATGGTAACCGCCTCCTCTAAGGCTATGAGTGAGCCCGCATTTGCAGTCCGTTTTCTCCTCGCCGATAACCGAGCCCTGCAACAATCTTCGCTGGCGTTCAGGAGATTGAATGCAGAGATTAGCAGATGCTCACACAGCGCGCACTGTTGACATCGAACAGCTGGTGCAAAATCTGTCTTGACAACACCTTTCGATTGTCGATAATTCAAAGAAGAAAAGTGCGATAGCGCGGTGAGAATCGTTGGATCATTGCCCTGCTAGTGGCAGCCATATGATTGCTTGCGAGCAGATGGAGTACGATAGCAGCGATGTGAACACGCAAGCGCCGTGGGTGGTCCAGTACTTCGAAACTGATGTTTATGTTCACGAATACGCGATTCCAGATGCCGATGACGGCGTGTAAGTGGCTAATGTACCAAAACATCGTTGGAAGAGGACTGCCTTCTTTGTTAGACGGTTTCGCACCCACATAAAACCACGGGTCAAGAGCCACCTCCTTTAGTGAGATATAGAGGATCCCGAGCTTGGAAGTTGCCACACTGTCCCGACTCAGTAGTGCGCGGCAGGGGCGCTAAGCAGGGACCATCCTTACCCATCGCAGCCGTGGCATTTGCGCCCTCTCACGTGCGAAGTGCTCTCTCGTGTTTTCCCTCTCTTCGCAACGCTGTGTCTCTCCGTCATACCATGGCCGACTGCACAGGGGAAATCACAGTAAATTCCATGTTTGGTTTTCTTGGAACCTGCGATTTCGCATGTTGTCTTATTTCTTCTGTGCCAAACAGGTTGTTATGGTGGGATGAAATTCCAGTTCGGGGGGGGGGGCACTCCCTGTTATCTCATCCGCAGTACTAGAGAGCACTCCTTTGGACTTTGACCCATTTAACCCATAAGGATAAAAGTTAAACGGCTCATTTAAAGCGCACTTTTGCTGAGGATCGGTGTATGGCCCACATCACGCAAATCCTGCTCCTAGGCAATTTATGGGATGTGATCGTCCACCCTAGGCTCACACAGCCTAGGAAGCGACGTCCATACCCTGGTTCAGGACTATTTCCTTGGACCCCAGAATGCCGAAATCTAAAGCACCCTAGGAGTATGTACTTCCACATTACACCGGTTCAAATCAGGAATAATTTCAAATGAATCGATTAGATGTCATGAAGCTCTACTCCTCACCCTTACTAGTATTGGAGAGCACAATGAGTGCCATCCCCCAAACTGAGGTTTCACCCATGGTGGATAATAATCGGTTTTAATCGCTCACTAACACGAGGAGGCTGACAGAAACTGGGTGAGCCGCAGGTCCTGAAGACGACGAATTGTCGAAACGTTGACCAATAAGCGGCTCTACCATAACAACCTGCATTGCACAGAAGAAATAAGAAAATCACAGTTCCTAACTTAGGCGTTATCCCAGCAGCTAACGAACAAAACAAGGAGATTTCAGTATTTATCTATGGCGCATTTTGTTTCTACCCCACCGAGTTTCTCATTTTTGCTTGTAATTTTTTTTTTGAACAAAACGCTCACCTATTCGATCCCTACCGTGCCGTCAAAGAGTAGGCCAAAGGTCGTAGATATATTTTGTCCATTTCTGATTCACTGATGTGTCCTTTCATGTATACCTACGACAAACGAGCCTTTAGAAGAGTCTAGGGTCTGCTCAGTTCGCTGGGAGTGTGATTACTTCTAATTGGGGAATATTTATCATTCATAGTGTTCAGTTTTCATGGGTCCAGATGGAGGGAGCACAGTATCGGTCACTATAAATTCATAATGAGGGCATCCGACAGGCAAGGGTGTCCCCAAGAGGCCCATCGCGCGGCGAAGGAAGAGACGCAGACGCGGCAAAGGACGAGTCGCAGCGCATACTGTAGCGGTTAGGCGTCAGGTTAAATAGAGTGTACCATACTACGTCTCATATCGCACAGCACGCGCTGCGACTCGTCCTTTGCCGCATCTGCGTCTCTTCCTTCGCCGCGCGATGGGCCTCTTGGGGACACCCGAAAGGGAAGTTGAAGTACATTGCAAATCGAGAAGGAATACTCGAACGCTGTGCGCTCGGCACAAGCCGGATTTAACAGTCCGGTGAGTGACCGCTACCGTAATCCACGTTGGCACTGGAGCGCGCAGCTACACTACTGCTGTGTACCCACACGGCCGCTTGCGCGGCGAAGCAAGCGGCGAAGCAAGCGGCGAAGCAAGCGGCGAAGCAAGCGGCGAAGCAAGCGGCGAAGCAAGCGGCGAAGCAAGCGGCGAAGCAAGCGGCGAAGCAAGCGGCGAAGCAAGCGGCGAGGCAAGCGGCTGCGCGCGCTTCGCGCGCAGGGCAAGGGA